ACTGAATCACCTTATTGGAACACTACCTGGGCCTTATCATATTATATCTATATTATAACTTTAGGTTACATGGCATTTGACTTTCATTTGAAGTCAGATAATGATTTGCATCACCAGCTCTGACGTGGTGTCTGTCGTTATTTTGCTTTTTTTGCAGTTTTGGATTTTTACAAAGATTGTAAAGAATTTGCAGATTTTTGGTGGTTTTGTCCAGTCAGGAAATATTTTGTAGAAGTCCAAGAAACATGCAAATACTCTCCCACACAGAGAAAAAATATGCTTCTGTGAGAACAACCATAAATTAACAATAGCAACAAAATAACAGTTGTATTTTGTTTAATATTCTTTATATTAAGATCTTCATGGTCAGATGAAGTGCAAAGCTGTTCTCATTGTTCAGAATTTCACATAGCCTAGTTAGCTACTATAACAAAATTGATGTTCCACAAGATCCAGCATTTCACCATTAAACCATAAAAGCAATCTAAATGATGATGACTTAGAAGGCAATAATAATAATAATAAAATGTATTCTAAATTAAACAAAACTAGAAATATAACCAACCAAAAATGTCTGTTTGTGGTTTTTCTAAATGGTGGCATAAGTGCATAACCTATGGCCATAGTATATATAAAGGGACATAGCTAACCTGCTGGCCGCCATATTTACATTCACCCCTGTAACTGCTTAGCCTGATTCATCTCGTCTAACCTCGCAGTGTTAGAATTCATTCGCTTGATGGTAGGCGGGTACCTTTTTTCATTTAACCAATCGCTGCTATTTGGTCGAGTCGTATGTAATGCGGCACTAACAGGGCTAACTGGTATATTAAGCTTTTCCCAAATCCCATAGGAAGAAGGGCAATAATGTCTTTCCCCTTGATAAAATTCACCAAACATTCTCTTTGTTCCAGCTTTAAATTCTCGATCTCGGGAATCGTTGAGAACACAAAATGTATGGTTCTTTGCTGATTGACTGATGCCCGAACTCGCACTTCTGGGGTTTTTGAGGACCATCTAGTGTATTCCAATTCCTGACCTAGTCACTGGAGAGAAATGAAATTGAGCGGATGGAGGCACTAGGTGGCGCCAACCTGGCTAGTAACTGCTAGCCTTGTGAGCTTCATTTGACTGGAGCCAATGCTATGGGTGATGTCCATAGACTGTAATTGGACTTAGCTAATGTGCTAGCTGCCACGTTCCATATAGGAAGTCTGTATACAGGTGCTGTAGTTCAACTGCTGTAGTGACCCTCACCATTTTGGTTTTAAAATGTTCGTATTAATGTGCTCTACATGATCCTGGAGGTTTTTGTTTTTTTTTGTCACTTAAAAAAAATCCTATTCATAATATAGAGCCTGATTCCATATTTGCCCCTTTAACTGCTAGCCTCATGAGCTTCATTTGACTGGAGCTGAACGCTACAGGTGATGTCACACTCCCTTAGTTCACATCTTTATACAGTATATGCCTATGTCCTTTGTGTCTTTATTGGTATTAAATAATAAATTTCAGCACATTGTCTTTATTGAATCATTTACATACTATTGTCTGGAAGATGCACCACAACAGAAACTAACAAACCACTTGACCTGCAGCACTTTTAGGTGGATCTATGAGACTGTTCTGGAAACAAAGTAGAGCAAATCACAATTTATTTTCATTCAAATTGTCAAGTCATTATTAAATTGAAGGTGTTGCTATTAGGATGTCCAGACTTTGTCTCTTGTCCATAGAGTATTAAAGGGAACACCTCTTGTTCCTCCTCTTGAGCTTCCTCTTGTTCATTTGTTGTCTCTCCTCTTGTCTCTCCTGTTGTCCCTCCTCTTGTCTCTCCTATTATCCTTCCTGTTGTCCCTCTTCTTGTCTCCCATTTTGTTTCTCCTCTTGGTTCTCATGTTGTCTCTCCTCTTGTCCCTTTTGTTGCATGTAAAATCCTCATATCCTCAACTTCAGTCTTAATGTCACCAATGTGTTTCTCATAATCTTTAATCATTTGAATATGTGGTTGACAAATGACTTTTGCTCTCTCAATTGCTAGTAGAGTAAGTTCCTCCTCAAGGTGGTTACGGAGTTTCTCTTTCAGATGTTTTTCACATTTAACTTTGTGGTAAGGAGGACCGCAAAGTTCCCATTTGAGTTTTTGGCCTTAATTGATTCATGACTCCAAAACTGCAATCATGGTCCAAAGAAAAATCAAACCGCAAATTAATCCCAGTCTAATCTCCTACATGAATATGAACACATAATATTAAATTAACATTAATAAATACATTCTTTTCCTTTCGTGTTTTCTTTCCTCAATCCCAAAGACATAGCAAGCAACATGTAATGACTGGTTAAGAGTTATACATTTGTTTACTTTCACTGCCACAAGTCCCATTAACACACAGTAGGCTATCAAGTATTTGTAGTTTGTAAACTGCATACATACTACAGATTTCACTGTAAAGTCTTTTTTTTTTTTTTCTTCTTCTTCTTTCATTAGGCTACTTTGATCTTTGCAAAGCATCCCGGTGTAATTGGAGTCAGAATTTGCCTTGTAAAGCTTGTAATAACAATATCCATCAAAGAAAACTGCAGCAATCCAAACACCACTCACATAAATTAACTTCAGGAATAGCCATAAAACACTGCTCCAACAGTTTGAGCTATAGTTTGAACAACACTTGAAAAGGTATCTCTTCTGATTAAAAGTCTCCTTGTAGCCAAAAACCCATGTTAGAAGCATATGAGGTATGTAAGTTTATCCACAACATCATGGCTGACCTGTGTTATGGTGTTCTCAAGTCTAAAAATGTTAGGTCTGTAAAGTAATGATCAGTTTGGCACCTTTGTATAGTTCTCTGACCACAGACTGCCAGCATATCCCATGCCTTGACACATGAAATGCCCCTTTTGCAAACGAACTACATTAGGTCAGCACATTCCAATATTTTTCACTCATGTTAGATTATAGTTTGCATAAACCTGTTGTACACATATATGGGTTCAATTCCTGCCTGATTTGATTATTTAGAGGTTCCATATATGTCTCACCACATAAGACTGCAAAAGTGATTAGATCCTCCATTGCTGCCATATTTCCTCCTTTTGTTTATCACGTTTGATGATAATTTCTTATTTTTTACATGAATCTATTACATAATTATGTGATCTGTGTCTAGTTTTCTGTAAAAATCAGCTTGTGTCTATCTGTTGAGTCTCAAAAGACACAAGCTGTTCAAGTGCACCGCATGTTTGCCTCAGACAGATGGGACGCCTTAATGAACATGAAGATGAGAAGACGAACCAGTTGAGAAAGCACCAGGAGCAGACAGCCACCAGGACATAGGGCCCAGGGAGATGAGGCCAAAAAAGAAACCTCCACCAGGACACAGAGCCCAGAGGAGAGATGAGGCCAAAAAAACATGCCTCCAGGAGTTTATGAGACAGACACCGGCAGTCACAGCCAACCACTGTTACTGTCACCAGACCAGTAGGGTAAATCCTTTCAGTCACTAGAGTACAGTGGTCTGACTTGGTATGGGAGAGTGGAAGTGAAAGAATATTTTAATCACATGTCAGCCAAATGTAGTGTCTGTTTCACCTTTTGTTCCCTTTTCTTGTAATATTTGATTTTAAAGTAACATTCATAAGAATCTAATGAAATGGCACATTTTGGGTGCTTTTGAAATACTTAATACTTAAAATACAGGTCATAATACAAATTAGCAAATTGTGAACTTTAAGCCATGTTATAAAGTTACCTCTTCAGAAACATACTTGGAGTTGTGTTTTGTTTAATTCATATTTAAGTAATTCTGCTTTATTAATCTGTCTATATCTCCAAATCTGAAATGTTCTGTCCACCTTGTGATGTCATCTAGTGGTAGTTTTCAAGTTAAAAGCCACCTTTTACCTTTAGTTCAGTAGATTCAGAACATTCTAGTGAAGCTGTGCTTAAAAACACTGTAGAACACTTTAGTTTTTTAGTTTAGTTTAGTTTATTTAATGAGACAGGGACAGTGCACAATATACATTAAGCTTAACAGGAGAGATGCATTGTACCAGGTTATAGCGCCAGTGCTAATTTCCTCCCATCGTCCCTGGGCAGGTTGATGTTATAGTTAATAAAATCAAACACAAAAAGAATAATGTCCCGAGCATCATAACAATTTTGTAAACTCATTCACACCCAGTTCTCTCAGCATCTTAAAATCATAATTCTTATCAAAAACATCATTCAATTAATTCACTCCAGAACATCACACTCTCTCCAGACAGTCATTAGTCCACATTATGGGCACAGGTTTGGTTTGAGAGGAGCCACTGTTTCGCCAGGCGTTAAGTGCCATAATTTGTAATGTGATCAGCTCTGTTGGTAACATGTAACATGAAAAGGTTGAGTTTCCAAATGCTGTCCTACTTCCTGTATTATGACATGACATCACAAGATGGAACAGAGTGTTTTCTGTCTGAGAGGAAAACTCAGCCTAAATACACAGGGTTTGTGTGTTAAACATGTGTGAATGAAACAAAACACAACTCCAGGTATGTTTTTGATCTGGAAACAACATTATAACATAGATAAGAAAATAGCATAATATCAATCCTTTCAACATTGCCAGACCCACAGTAGACCTCGCGATTATGAGTCCAGTGGTACCACAGTTTAAGAGCCACTGCAATATAACAAAAATTACTGCGCATATTTGCTGTTACACCTCAAATGGTAAAAAAAAAAAAGTGTGTAACCTTTATGTCACTTAATCTGCCTCAAGCTCCACATAATGATTTTCAGCACCTTGCCCTTTTAAATGTCAGAGAATCATTCAAAACGCTACAAAAGACACACCTCTCTAGTCAGTCAAATGACACACACCTTATGGCAATGTTTACTCTTGGGGTTGTGTTGAAAATGAGATGCTTGAGTTAGTCTGAATATGGCTGAGACAAACAGCATGTGGGTGAAATATTATAATATTAGTTTAATCGTTCAAGGGAATACAATGTTGTTATAGCCAAACTGAAACTTGGATCCTCATCTTTTGGGCTGGAGAGATGGCATCTTTGAAGAGGATCATTGGTTGCAGGTAGGTGCACTAAGAATAATTCACCATCAACAAGCTCTGTCTTTTGAAGCAAGCTTATTTCCAAGGATGACATTATGTGTTATATAAATCAAAACAGAATGAAATGGTTTAGCTTCCATAAATAATATTACCACATATGATCTGTTAGTATGCACAATTAAATATTATGTTATTAAAATAGATATGTTTAAATGATTATGTTTAGTTCTTGACATAATACAAGTGCGTTAATACAAGGGTATTTTACTAGACCTATCCTCAGTATTGTGCCAAATTCCACACTATTTGGGCTGTTCAAGTTTGCATTGTTTAAGATAATTCTGTTCTATTTACATCCGTGACAGTGGCATACAAAAGGTCCCTTGTATGGTGGGACTGTTTTTGTCTTTGCAAATATCAGACTGACAAATATGTTTGTCTTTTCCTCTGTGCAGCATGGTAATCCTGATTGTTGTATTTTCTGGGATTATCATCATCATTTTGGCTTGTACTTTCACTGGTAAGATACTCTTTTAAGGTTTTATGATACAACTTTTTTCCGAATAATATATTTTTTTATGTTTTTCTATTGACTTTGTATATTGTTTGATAATGAGACTATTTTCCTGAAGACAATACTTGCTGGCTTAAACTCCTGGCAAATACTGTACAAAAATATATATCTAATGACTTTGTACTGTATTTGTATTGTAAATATATTTATCATCCTGTCCTAATATTGGACTTGTATCATTTAACTGTTCTATTCAATCAGGACTTTAAGATATTATTATTAAATCGTCTCTTCTTATAATAGTTACTGTTTCTTTTAGGCAAGGCAAGGCAAGGCAAGTTTATTTGTATAGCACAATTCGTACACAAAGTAATTCAAAGTGCTTTACAGAATAAGAAATACATTAAAATCATAATAAAAACAAATCAAAACATAAATAATCGTGAAGATTAAAATAAAAAAAGAGAGACATAAATTGGAGAGAAGAGTGCGGAATGAAAACCTTTCAGTTATATGCACAGTTAAACAGAAATGTTTTGAGCCTGGATTTAAACAGCATCACAGAAGAGGCCTGTCTCACATGTTCAGGAAGACTTTTCCAGGTTTTAGCTGCATGAACCTGAAACGCTGACTCCCCTTGTTTAGTCCTGACTCTGGGCACCAGCAGGAGGCCGGTCCCTGAGGTCCTCAGAGTGCGAGATGGTTCATATGACACTAACATGTCACAGATGTACTTTGGTGCTCGGCCATGGAGAGACTTGTACACAAGCAGAGCTGCTTTAAAGTCTATTCTCTGAGGCACAGGAAGCCAGTGCAGAGACCTGAGCACAGGACTTATGTGCTCGTACTTCCTAGTTCGAGTAAGGACCCGAGCTGCAGCGTTCTGGATGTACTGCAGCTGTCTCACAGCTCGTTTAGAGAGACCAGTGAGCAGACCATTACAGTAGTCTAACCTACTGGAGACAAACGCATGGATAAGTTTCTCCAAGTCTGCTTTAGACAGTAAACCTTTGATTTTTGCTATGTTTTTTAGATGGTAAAAGGCTGCAGATGTTATTGATTTGATGTGGCTGTTAAAGTTCAAGTCTGAGTCCATTATTACCCCTAGATTTCTTGCCTGATTTGAAGGTTTTAGAGAGAGAGACTGGAGGTGACTGCTGACACTGTCCCTTTGTTTCTGTGGACCAAACACTATGACTTCAGTCTTGTCAGAGTTTAGCTGGAGAAAGTTGTTTTGCATCCACACACTGATCTGTTGGATGCAATGACCAAGTGACTCCACTGGTCCATAGTCTCCTGCTGCCAGAGAGACGTAGATCTGAGTGTCATCTGCATAATTGTGGTAGGACACATTATTGCTGCTTATTAACTGGCCTAATGGCAGCATGTAGAGATTGAACAACAGGGGGCCCAGGATTGACCCCTGAGGCACCCAACGGGTCAGGGCCATGTGATCTGAGACACAGTTTCCAATTTCAACAAAATACTTCCTGTCTTCTAGATAGGATTTGAACCAGTTTAGTACAGTACCAGAGATGCCCACCCAGTCCTCTAGTCTCTGTAAGAGGATCCCATGATCGACAGTGTCAAAAGCAGCACTCAGATCTAACAGGATCAAGACTGAGACTTTGCCTGCATCAGTGTTCAGGCGGATGTCATTTGTCACCTTGATAAGAGCAGTCTCAGTGCTGTGGTGGGCTCTAAAACCTGACTGGAAAACATCAAAGGAGTTGTTCATTTGGAGAAAATTCATAAGCTGTTGGTAAACAGCTTTTTCAAGGACTTTGCCAAAAAACGGCAGATTTGAGATGGGTCGGAAATTGTTCAGTACTGTGGCATCAAGACTGCTCTTCTTTAGGAGAGGCTTATTGACCGCAGTTTTCAACGCGTTTGGGAATGTTCCAGGTTGAAGTGACATGTTAACTATGTGAGTGAGTGGTGAAAGTAAACTTGTAAGGTCCAAACATTTGTGAAGCCATAGCTTTGCACACCTTGTTCCACCTTTTAAAATGCCTCAAAAATGAAAGAATCCACGAACAGCGATCCAAGTGCAATTTAAAAACTCTTTACTGCGGATTCACATTATAGGACATACAGATACAAACAAAAAGAGGAACTTTAACGTGTAGGTGACAGGAGGTCAAAAAACTGTTTGGCTCCACTCCACCCTCTCCTGGTGCACTTGCACACATCTTAAATAGGGAACCGTAGACCACAAAATAATACAAAAAATTAAACATTACTTAAGTAAACTTATGATTAACATTAGCAATAATTAATTAAAGAAAAAATATAAATAGATCAAATTACTTTGTAACAAATAATCAACAAATAATCATGTTAACCATAAAGAACCACCAAAATACCAAAAATCATGCATTTTAAGTAAACATTAAATCAAACAAAATAAGAATAATTATCTCAATAATGAAAATACTCCAAACTGGGTTTAGGCTCCTACAAAACTGTTGAGGACGGACTTTAGAAATCTAGTGTCTAGTCAGACAGGGCACCTGTTTTCCATGTTTTGGTTTTACAGTTTGACTTTGATGTCTAATCTCACTATGTAATGGTTTAAGGAGTTGAAAATTAATTCTATAAACATTTAATCATAACATTTTTACTCACAAGTTTCCCAACTGAAAAGGCATGTTGTAAGCAGTTGTGTTGCGTTGTATTTTTATTATTTATTTTGAAATATACATTAACATATTGGCTTTTTCTTGCAATAATATGGTTTATCATTTTATAAATACTCCCTCAACCAATGCTAGTGAGCACAAACATGTCTCAGTCATATATGACATAGCTTAAATTTTGATTTTCTATAGCTGTACAAAATCTTTATATTTCCAATGACTCAAATCTGTCACTTTACTGACCCCTTGTGACTGAACTACGTACATAGTTGGCTCAACCATTCACTGGTACATTTAAAGACCAAGACTCAAATATTTAGCTCAAAAGTAGGCCAGAATTTAGACACAATGCACTTTTTTATTATTATTGTAGCTGAGTTCAGTCTTTTTGACCTACCTAAGCAGATTGTACTAAATCTTTTGAAAACTTTCAGTCTGAATGAAGTATTATATTTTTCCACTGCTCTATAGGGAGACTTTCATCAGTGCTCAGTTCTGACAAATCTCCTGTTGCCAATCTTGGCGAAAACCAACTCCTCAGCTGCTACCTGCGCATAGTCAAAATCATACCACTGTCCCAGATGTCTGTGACGTGGATGAAGAGTGGCGTGTCTGGGATGGTCTATCAGTTTAAGAATGGGGCTGTGGACCTGGAGAACCAGAGCCCACAATTCAAAGGTAGGGCAGCGCTGTCCCTAGTCGACCTGCGGACGGGGAACGCCTCACTGTTCCTGTCAGCGGTGAGGAATGAGGACCAGGGTGTGTACACTTGCACCATGAGCAGCAGCGCCGGAGCAGGGGCAGTTACTGTGGACCTACATGCTGGAGGTATGGAAGGTTAGACTTTAAAGGTGCACTGTATAACTTCTCTGATAAGGTAAATGTATACATGTAGGATAAATATAGCTACTACTACTACTAGCTTTAATGTTGTATAATGAAAAAATCCTCATTTGTACTGTTGTGGACTTCTGGTGAACCAACCAGGTGAACTTCTGGTAGGTTTGACATGAATACGTGGATATATAAGTCTATGAGCCCATATCAGTTTTTCCATGTCTCAGATATGGATTTTTGTTTCTTCCAGCCTTTTCAGCACCATCTTTCACATTATCAAACAGCAGTTTAACAGCTGTAGCAGAGCGCTGGTTTCCTGAGCCCAATGTGACCTGGACCAACCTCAGTGGAACTGTTCTACATGGGACCACAAGCCTGAACTCTAACAGTGCTGGTGTATACAGTGTGGAAACTGTACTATCATCCATAAACACGAGCAATAGTTATATTTTGAAGATTGAGAACAGCTTGAAGATATCAGTTTCAAAAGCAACTGTAACAGGTACTTAATAGAGTCATGCAGGGCAGGTTGATAGATTTCCTTTGTTCATTCTTTTAATTATATTTATTTTAATTATATATATATTTTTTTTATTTTCAGGCTCTGAGATTATACAGCAAACATACCTGTACAACACCAACAAAGCATCCTCACCACTGATCACATCCACATCTCTCACCTTCATGATCGCTATTTTATATTTTGGCCTGGCCATTTTCCCATAAGACTTTATTTTCTCCATTGAAAAACTTACATTTGACCCATCTGATCAGTGCTACTGAGGCAACCTGTCAGGAGCAGTGACTGATGATAGAACAGGCCTGGGTCTATAAGAGTGCAAAGGGTGCACCCTCATTTAAAATTGTTTGCTCCCTCATTTTAGATGTGTAAATAATTACACTTAATTGAAGATTAATGTCTTGGCACCCCATTGAAACACATATGCACCCTCAGTGGCAGTGTCTACAGTCCTGTTTAGTCAGTGTAACAATTTTAACTAAGCACCTAATGACATCTTTGTTCAGCAGTCATTAAAGAAAATGTGGTTAAGCTAATGAAGATATTTATTATAATTGTATTTAAGTTATTTATATATTTATCATATGGCAATTATTAACAAGACTGTCTTTAACTTATAGTGCAACCTCGTTTCCTTTTGGCTTTGCTACTCTAAGCACTTTTTCTTCAATGTAATAAAAAATTGTTTATTCTCTGATTCTGATTCTCTGTTTGTATTTGGTCGTAGCCTACATTCTATAGGGATATTTCATCAAAGCCTTTTAACAAGTCTAGGCTCCTGAAATCCTGAGCTGAAACTAGTTCCATCTCCATCTTAACCCTCAACTCGTTCCATTAAAGAAATAAGCCTGAGTGTGACCAAAGCTAATTCAGGCATTAGATTTAAGATGCGCTTTGTGCGTGCTCCCGATGGCTCTGAGAAAAAATTCGCGCAGACATGTTCTCAGTTTGACGGGGAGCGAGAGACAGGGGAGAGAGAACAGAGACATGTGTGATGAAGGAGCGAACACTCAGAACCCACTGAAAACCAGCTCACCTCCGTCCGTCCGTCTGTCTGTGCGTAAAAGCTGCACTGCCCTCTCAACAGTCATACGTGCAAGTTCAGTGATTTTAAAGAAATAATGTCCATAGGCTTTTATATTATCTGTACCTTTTTGATGACTGCAGCGTCCACAGACACGTGTTTCCCGTGCGTATAGAAGCGTATGGTCAGTAAAAGTCTCAAGCCACTGGAGACCATATAGGCTATATGATAATAATACTTTATAGCCTATAGCCACTTTTTAAATTGTATCAGAAGGAGACGAGTGTTCAAAGACATGTGTGTGAGTGCACGTGCTGAAACTTTTGACTAAATTATTTCTTTAAGTCTTATGGGAGACAAAGCTAAAATAATCTTAACAGTTGGCCTGGTCTCTCCTGACCAGGTTTGTGCCCCGGCGCGTGTTGCAGCAACATCCCAGCGCCACCTCTAGTCACTTTGAACGGAACTGAGAATTTGACAAGATTGAATCGCCCAAATAAACCAGGCTTTCACTTTAGCTTGCTTCATGTTCATGTACCCTTTATGTTGTGAATAAGCATTTGCTTTAGTTCTGTTATGTTGCTGTAGTATATGGTGCTGCCACTAGAGGAGGAAGTAATAGTAGGACCACCCCTACATGGGCCTCCAGAGATTCCCATTGGTTTGGCACTGAGTGGGGTGTCAAATGTCCCATCAACTCTGAATGCACTGGAAACCTACTTCTGCATGAAAGAGCTCGTGAGTGACCACAGGATTTTAACCAGTGAGTTAGTTTTTACGTTTAAGCAAAAAAAAAAAAGTGCATATATGTTTGTTACAAGTTGTGTTTTTAATCGCTAATCGCGTTTCCATTTCGTGGAGTTTTGTGAAGTGGAAAATTCCTGGTTTGTCTTTTTGTGGATTTTTGGTTCCGTAGAAACCTACTTGAAAAGAGCAGTGCAATGTCTAAAGAAGAAGGAAACGTGGACCAAAACGCCATAAGCTCAGAAAAAGTACAAAACGGGGGAAGTGTAAACGCGAGGGCGGTGTGTAATGTGTGTAAGCGCCTCTTTCGGGATCCAAAAATCTTACCGTGTCTCCACACCTTCTGCTCGGACTGTATCGCTCAGCTGGAGCCGTTCTCGCCGTCCTCCTCCTCCTGGGCCGGAGCGGTCAGACGCGGCAGTGGTGGCGAGGGCTCCGTGACGGTACTGTGTCCGGAATGTGACTCTGAAGTGGACTTACCGACTATGGGACCGGCCGGGCTCAGCACAGACCACTTGGCTCTGGATGAGGTGTTTCTGGAGACGCTGGTGACAGACGGTCCGCTGCCCTGTGACCTCTGCGGGGAGGGAGCCGCGGAGAGCCGCTGCGAGATATGCGCCATCAATCTGTGCGAGTTCTGCTGCCAGGCTCATAGGTAATACAGGATTCACTATTATGAAGAGATATGGTAGTACACACAACTTACTTGAGTAACTTTTTGAAAAATCTAATCTGCACTATTTAACAGTGACACAGTTTTTATGTTGACAATATTAAAATCTGTAAACATTAGTGTTTCTCACCATGATCTCATAGACTACATCTTCTTTCCAAATGTAGCCAAATTCTTTTTCTAGCATGCAGATCTCTCTATGAAACAACTCAATTGGTGGAAGTACTAATTCAGTCCATTACTATGAGATGTGTTTAGCAATAGGAATAATTCTACTTGAACATGCATGATACCAACAGGGTCCAGACTGATCTAAACCATCTTCTCTGTTCTGCAGGCGTCAGAAACGGACCTCCTCTCACTCAGTTCAGGCTCTCCATGAGCTGAAGTCCCGTGGTCGTCTCTGTCGTCCGGTCCTCTGTTCCCTCCACCCGGGGCAGGAGCTGCGACTCTTCTGTCAGCCCTGTGATGTGCCCGTGTGCCTGGAGTGTGCCGCCACTCTGCATCGGGACCACTGCTGTTCTCCCACACATGACGTCATTGATGGACATGGAGACCGCATCCGGGAACTGGTCTCAGTCCATCTGCGTCCTCGTTTGGAGCGCCTGGAGGAGTCACTTCAAAAGGTAGTACAGTAAATGAAGATGGTTTGAAGCCTATTGTATTTGTAAGTGATGTTTTGTGACAAGGATTGAGCCAGTACTATTTTATAAGAATTCAAGATGTGTTATTAAGACAATTTTTTGACTTACTACATTTTCCTGTTAATCTTTACTTATTATCTTTTAATTGTCGATAGTTGCAGGGGCTAATCCTCAGTATGATATTGAATTTCCTTGCTATATGTTAGATTAACGTGACTCTAAATTCTAAATTGGTATCCTCATAATCAGCATAACTACATTCTCTCACTGTGTTTTCGTAAAGGTGGATGAGTCCCAGGATCTCCTAACGTCCCGTGTGGATGAAGTGGCACAGGAGGTGAGGGCATTTGCTCGAGGATATGCCAGTGCTGTGGAGGCCCATTGTCTGTCTCTGCTGCGCCGCCTAGAGGAACTACACAAACAGCGCAGGTACACAGATAATACATAGTCCAATAGTTGCCCTTTAATTTTGCGTAAAAAAAACATTTCCAGATTTCAAGCTAAATTTGGAAAATGCGCACATTTCCCCCATTTGTTGTTGGAATAATTGGTGACATTACGACTATACAAATTATTGCTTATGGAAATTTCAAAAGATACATTTATTCTGTCAGCTGGACCAAAGATTTGGAGTGAATATGTTTCGTTACTCATCAAAGAGGCTTCCACAGTTTAGAGCTTTTGAAACTACTCATGAAATTATGATGATCACATTTGTGTTTTGTTGAATTCATTAAAGCATTCTGGCAAATTACAACAGTTCGTGTATTATATATAGTATAGTATAATACATTTTACAATAAGAGCCCCTAAAACACTCGCTGTCTGTCTTTTTTTTTTTTTTTTTTTTTTCAGAAACCAGATACACTTACAGAGGGCTCAACTGCGCCAGGCTCTGGTGGATGTCCGAGGTGGAGTGGAGTTTGCTGAAAGACTTTTAAGCTGTGGTTCAGATGCGGAGATCCTTAGTGCTAAAAGAGTGACCCTGCAAAGACTGAGCAGCCTGTCTGAAACTAGCTATGACCCACAATCTGTGGCAGGAGTTGATGATGGCTCCAATATCTGCTTTTTGCCCTCTGAGCCAGCAGGAGATGTCAATGGCTATCCAGTTGTTGGAATAATCCACGGGAAGACAGCAGACCCCAGCAAGTGCTCAGTGGAAGGAGAAGGTAATTAAAGAATATTTAATTTATGGTGAATTCATGACTCTATCAGGAGGTCCTTAGATTATGGTAGAAATATTAATGTGAAAGGCAGGTGTTGTTTTGTTTCTATTATAAGACCTGTAATATTAAGAGTTGTGTATTATCATACCACCACACTTACTCACATAAACCACAAGGTGCCAGGAAACCAATAAGGAATTTGCAGTATTTTATTACCCTGCGGCTTTATTATCATCAACATTTTTCTCTGAACCAATGCAATGAAAATGCTCAGAAAATATACATAAATCCAAGTCAAATCTTATTAGTTGCTGAGGCTTTGGATAATTACTTAGAATGGTGTTTGCCTTTGCTGTATCTTTTGCATATCATTGTTTACTGTGGAAACACTTTAGCTTCTCCCTTTGTTTTGATTACCAGCTATAAAAGAGTGGAGACAAATCATTGAGGCAGTGAAATGACCAAGTTAATTGGTTTACTTTAGTTTCCCTATTATCCTTGTTTAACTCTTTTGTACATGTACACACACTGCTTGAACTCAGTGCAGCTGGTGAGCCTGTGAATGGGGAGGAACAGTGCTGAAAGATGCACAGTTAAAGACTATTGTTATGTGGGAATTCCTCTGGAGCAGAAGGAATGCTCCAGGGGCCTTAAGGGATAAAACAGTCTGGGGATGTTTACACCAAGCACACACATGTCACCAGCTAAAAGGAAAAGAGGCTGTGGCAAGTCGCAGTAGGACATTTTAAATCCTGGAATCACAACAGAGGGACAAGGATATAGTCAAGTGAGGAATATTCATCAGGTTTTCTCAGTAGATTAAGAATATTATTAAGAACATAGTCAATTTAAATGTGACTGGGGAGACAGCAACTTTAATCCTTTTATACTAGTGAGCATTGTTTAATTAATATGAACAATGTATATATATCTAAAGTTTTAAATTTTTAATGTGTTAAATCGAGATGATAATGGCTCTGGTGATAATTTAGAAATCTTTAATTTATTAGGCATTCACAGCTACTATATTTGCTTTTGTCCCTTTTCAAGAACAAAAGAAAGTGTAGAAAAAGTGTAATAATTCATTACTATCTACCTCTTAACAAATGTTGCTGCATATTATCACATTTAATTTAATACGTTTCACTTATTCTGCTGTTTTATGCTGTGTGCTGCATTTCCAATGCAAGCTATAAAAGGGTTAAACAGACTATTCGCTCAATGCACAGGTGACAGAAGAACAGCTGTGTCGGTAATGATGGCAGCTGCTACTTTCTAGGCTGAGAAAATACACTGTAAATTCACACATAATTACTGCGTAATAATGACTGGAATATGATATCGCTGAGCAGAGAAGCTGTATTAATGTTTTAGCAATAGCTGATTTATTTTCACAAGGCTGGTCGAAATAGTAAACACAATCCTCTGAACAAGTGGAAGTAATTAGTCTTGCTGGGTATAAACGGCCACCCCACAGCTGCTAGGAGTTACAGGCTGAACTGTAACAGCATCATTTATTTTCAGACTTATTAGACTGTGAAAAACAAATTCAAAACACTATCAATCATGGATGAAAACTCTAATAATGTGTTAGCTTTAACACAAACTTGAAGCTGTTAAATATCTGCATCTGTATGCTGCTGTATTTTGGAATGGTACTGGCTGAAATGTGTATATGCCAAGATGGAAAAAAACAACAAGTATAGTATGGTCTAAGTGTTAAAGATGCTATAGGGTGGAGAGTTTCTTAGGAATATAATAAGTTCAGTCATGAATAGTCTGCTTCTTTTAAGCTCATTTATGAGTTAGCTTTGATGTTAAACTTTATGTATTCTTGTTTGGAATATAAAAGTTATCCATTTATTATGTAGGCATGCTTCTTCTGTTACTTTAGAGGTATTAATTGTTATTGCTATACCTGTAATCTTCCGCAGTATGGCAGTGTCATATCGCTTATTGCCTCATGAATATCTATTTAATATGTTACAACAGGATTGCAGCAGTGTAGTTTTGGCCAGTCTGGACACTTCACACTGGTCTGCAGGGACTCAGGAGGGGATCAGCTGACCCGAGGAGGAGAGCACGTTGTGGTCAGCATCGTCCATAAAGAAAAGAGAAACTGGTAATTAAATACTAGAAGTCCATCCTTGTGAGTATGTGTGTGAGATGGTGGGTGGGGAGACGGAGAGTTTACTCTATATTTCTGCACTATATTGAGTCTTAAATATTCATTGCAACTCCTTTCTGAAATCTAAAATCTAAAATCAGTGTTTACATTACACTAAATGTAGTATATGACAATTATATTCAGTCAATGGCTATTTTTATTCTAACACTTTATTTTATGCATGCCCTTTATTTTATGATAATTAATATTTTTTATTGTTATTATTTATTGTTTTATGTCACACCATCCTGATGCACATTTCTAGTTGGTGAATTTTGTTCCCAGACATTGATAACTTTTCTGACTCTTAAAACTATTTAATAAGTTAATTTACTGTATCATTGCTGTATCTCTCTCCAATAAACACTAAATGTTTACTTAAAAGCCCTCAATATTGTGCTTTGGCTTGTTTCTCCAGTACCATCGTGTCATCCGTAGTGGACAACAGTGATGGGACCTACAGTGTTTCATACACTCCTGAAGAGCTTGGGCCTTACTCTGTGTGGGTTTGTGTAAAAACACAACATGTCAAGGTACAGTATTACGTTTCATATTCCAGTATTTGTACAGCATTTACTGCAGTGATGTACAGACTAAAGGCATCACTTAAACCACATGTTTTCAAATGGTAGTGTGAGAACCAGATGTGATTACAGTATATGAGATGCTGATTTTTTTTCACTTGAAGCCTAATCAGTACTGGATCATCCTCATAATTATTATTGAATGGATAGTTTAATATAGTATGATCTTGCCAATACTGTACAAGATTATAATAACCTACGTATTGCATTTCCTTCTTTTAATTAATATGCTTTTACATATTTCAAATTAAATCCTACCTTGTTTATGTTCTGCTGATTTGAACGCTATCCAGCCCCTTGTCTATGTTTACAGGGATCCCCATTCACACTGAACATAAAGAGGAAGCCGAGGCGCCACAGTGGGATGTTTCATTGCTGTTCTTTCTGCTCCAGCGGAGGGTCCAAAGAGGCTCGGTGTGGCTGCCCGGGAACTATGCCAGGTTTGTCACACAACACCTGAACCTGCTGCTGCTCTCTGTGAGGCAATATCAGCAGCAACATGTTGTAAGACTGAAAGCAAGATGTATTACAGTGGATGAACAAACAAACAGCTTGATTCAAAATGAAACCTTTTTTACAGCCAATCAGTTATAGAGAGACTGAGGGTGTGTTTACACTTGTCGTTATTTGGTACTAAATTGAGCCCTTTTTAGTCCTGATGTGGACTTGGTTAGGTACCATTCTAGTCTGTATTTAGTCTCGGATTAGTTCATGTTCCGGTTTAGTCCTGGTTTAGTACCATTTTGATGTGGTGAACGTGCAAGTGAACGCTCCCTAAAATAAATACTGCTAAATGTTTTTATTCACCTTTGTGCATTTTTTTTATGTTTAGCTCAGTGCATGTGATATTGAATGAAAAATATATATTGCCCAATACACACAAATTTACACAGGCTCAAGAGATAATATTATTTCTACTGTCTTTTGTGTTTCAGGGGGATTTAAAGGTTGTGGGCATGGACATAAGGGGCATCCAGGGAAGCCGCACTGGTCGTGTTGTGGCAGTACAGTGGAGAAGTCTGAGTGTTTACCTGAGAGTGTGATAACTGCTGTTTCTGCGCGCGGGCACCTGAGGACTGTGGAGCTCTGAGAGAAAACAGGCAGGAATTGTCAAGATGATGAAACAAAGCCACTAAAGGAGCAAGACAACCATAACGTACTGTGGTGTTAACTCAGTGTTGTTTCAAATTGTTGTTGTTGTTTAAATGTGCCTTTACTGATACACTGGAGTTTTTTCTCAACTAGGTAAACCTAATTACAGTAATATATTAATACTTTTCTTATGGTGCTCAACACAAAGGTGCACTGTGAAACTTCTCTGGTGGATGGTACATGTCTTCCTTGTTTCCATGGAAATATTATTGCTTTCCCCTCTAATATTCCACAGTATGGGATTAAACACCAGGCCAAGTTACAATTCCAATCTGTACATAAGTAATAATGCATGCTTTTTCCCACTATATTTTTTGTGATAAAAACATCTGTAATAAATACAATACATCACATTGTGGAACATTTTAGGTTAAGCAATAACATGGAAAGTTAAATAGTCAACTTTAATGTACAATATGTTTGATGTTTAGTATCATATTATAAAGTTGACTTATATTGCCTTAAAAATGCTGCTAATATACCTTACACTCTAAAAAACAAATATAATTTTATATAATTCGAATGACATGCCTTATTTCAAATTAGTTAGTATAAGCAATATGTACTAAATGTAACCAAATCTGAAACTATATTCTTATAGACTCATAACATGCTTTATTGTGGTACTCTTCAATACTGTGAGTCATTTGCTAATATAAAAGTCTTACTGTCCAGTTTTGACTGTATTCCACTTTTGACTGTATTTTATGAACCATGACACATTAAATTTCCATTATGTACTGCTGTAATATTTTGAATTGTGTAAATGACTTGCAGTACAATAGAGTCCAGTTACAAATGCTGAGTAACACACTTCTTCTTTCAGAATTTCAATTTCCAAAATTAATAATAACATTTACTATCTAAGTTGATATCTACAATGCAAAAAAATAAAAATAAAAAAAACTGCCAGCAAATGTGACTGTACTAGTGCGTGCTGAAATTTCATGACGTCTGAACCACACAATTTCTTTTCATACCAGCAGGTGGCAATGCATAACTACTTTCCTCCTTTACCCTAATAACACTATCTGGCGACTTTTCTCTGCATTAAATATCACCCCTATTGGTAGATAAGAAATGTCTTTACCGAGCTAAAAGACAACTAATAAATACAGCATAATCAGGAATCATGTTGTAAGTGGTTTTAGATAGACTGTTAACATTAATGTTTTTATGAGCCTACTCTTCTGATTGCCATTTACTTACTAGTGATAGGGATCTTGCTTAATCTAACAGTGGATAGAGGACATTTAATGGTACTGTATCAGGTAGTGTGCCTTTACTTAACAACTTAAAACATAACACATTACGTGTGTTAATAACTGTACACATATTTGAAGAATGCAAATAATGATAAGTTTACTAGTGTGCACTGATAAGTAAAAACCCTGCAGCTAATGTAGTCCTGACCTAGTCTTGCTCAAGATTTGGAGATGAGTCCCTGAGCCCCACAGTGCTCCTGCCAGGTTGTTCCAAATTTTCCTCTAGAGACACTTAAGTACTTAACCATAACCCTATTGACTGACTATAAGATATAACAGAACCAGCGTAGCCTTCTGTACTCACAAATAGTGACATAAGTATGAAATTGTTGTACTTGAAAACCCCAAAGGGAAAGATGTCACAGTGGTTGTAGTATATAGTTAACATAAACATAATGGTTGTACCAGCTGTAGCATCAATTGAATATCTGTTTTTTTGTTGTTGTTTGTATTTTTGATCAGATGTCCACATTTACAAAGCCAAACATGATTTCCATAATCTGCCACTAATAGTGATTTGTCATTACATCACTTCCTCCACTCAAGTGGATATGAGCCAGTGTTTGGGACCTGAGCCATCTCCTCCACACGCCAAATTGAACAATGACAGTATGTAGCTAACGACAGGGCTGCTGCCATTCCCATGAACCCTGGGGAGAAGGACTCCTGCCAAATCTCATAAACCTCCTTCATGTGGCATTGAGCTCTCAAGTAATGTACCTTGTAATTGAGAGCACACGCCATAATGGTCCAGCATTGTCCCTCAGTCAAAAGAGGGTTTTGTACATTTTAACTTTAATTTGTACTTTTTTGTCATATCCTTAGATCTAGTTCAAGATGTGTGTGTTGAACTTTTCTAAACAACAATTATAAGGACCTGAATAATACAAAAATAGAGCCTCTCCGGAATAAAACAGAAAAAACAACAAACAATAACAAAGCTTTAAATACACATTTACCAAAAATATTTCAAGGTAAGATCAACCAAATGCTTGAATTAATAAATATCTTTAAAATTGGTTTTAATGGTGTTGAGACATTAGACTTTTCTGAGCTCTAGCAGGCACAAAACAGGAACTGCACTATGATTGACATGTTAGTTCTGCAAATCTTTTTTATACTGTGATAAGTTCTTTATTTCCAGTCCATAAAAACTTAAGGTAGACTCAGACATTTTTAATTTGTGTCTGATTATTTAATGGCAAATAATGTAAACATTATTAACCCCCACCCCCATTGTATTTTCCCATGAAGTATCCAAATTCATAAATGTTGAACCTGATAAAATATCACTGACTAGACCCTAAAGTCTATAATACAATAAAAATCACTATCGCTATATCACAAAACAAAAAAGCATTTTAACAATAGTCATTTTATATGCCCCCACCTGTATTAAATATTACTAGCCTGTAGAATGTTGTGATGTCATCTGAAAACTAACAATAGAGCTCAATATTTATTTTTAATCCACCTCTTTTTAGGAGTCTTAAGTTGGAGTGAGGAAACAGAACAGTACACAGAAGATGAAGATGGAGGTATACAGTGTTGTGACAGCTCCTGACATCCCTCACCCACAAGTATTTCATCTCTGCAAACCAACCACACCAGTGCACTGTGCCAGTGCCTAAATACACAGGGTTATCTGCACTGCACACATTGGTAACAATACCTTTTTACCTTTTATTTTAAATGAGGCAATGAAAAACAAAATCAAAAACTTGGCCTACTATTTTTGTTACTGTGCTTGCAGATCGGCCAAACAAGCAACAATCAGAGTAATCATAACCATCTTAAAGGTTCACTTTGTAATTTTTCTGGTGGAGGTCCTGATATTGGCTTGTTGGAGTGTGTCATTAAACTGGTTTATCTCCATGGAGGCAATCAGACCTCAACACCAAGTTACAGATCAGATCTGTGTGTAAATGACCCTGCTGACTGTAAGAATGCATGTTTTTCAACGTTTTTGTGCAAATGAATAAATGCAAGATAGAGAAGATTAAATAACATCTCCATGGAGACAAGCAGGTCTTACATACACTTAAAAATTAAAAGTAATAGAAATGTTCCTACTCACGTATAACTTTTGTATTGCAAAGGTATTAAGAGACTTGAGCAGTTCACTATATTGTAGGATTGAATTCTATGTTCACCTACCTCCTAGGAGTCGACACTTTCCTTGGTATTCATGAGCAGCTGTGACCCTTTGTTTAGAGAGGGCAGGTCACTCAGACTGAACACTGTGTAACTCCATTAGAGACAAAGAGGTAAAGTCAATGTCACCACTGTAATACATTTACCCAGCTCTGAGTGGGGCCTAACTAGCTCACACATCAAAGTAGTGCGCTTGGGAAAACAATTTAAAGTCAGTTCCATTGGAGCCAGTAGATTCAGTCCAGTGCATAGAGTGGAAGTGTACTTGTTTTCATGCCACAGTTTCTTAATAAAGCAGTAACAGCAGTGTCCATAACTTTATAAAAATGAAGAGCAGTGTCACCCAGACCTGGAGACGGAGGCAGTTCTGGTGGTGTTTGCGAGGTCATATTCGCACATCACTGTCAACAACAATACAATTTGTTTTCTGTTATGGCTACTGCTGTGTCAACACTCAAGTCTGCAGGTATCTCTGCACAGAAAATAAACAAAAAAACATTATATATGCAATTACTTGTCAGAATGTTACTTTTGGAGTCATCTTTCCTTACTAAAGACAAACCAATGCAGTCCAAAACATCCTAAATGTGTCTAAATAATATTTAAATTAAACTGCATATGACAAGTTAGAATACTAATTGAACATAAGATAACATGATTATATTTAAGAATCTTGCCTCCTTTTTTTTCATTTTACTTTCTGGTTGGACAAAACTTAAAATTACATAATAGCAATGATTAGACTAATAAAAATAGAGACAAACACCTGTACTCTTGTAAATACAATTTTCCATGTTGATATTCCCTTGTAGAACTCAGTACTACCTCCTGTATTGCTGTAATTTCCTTCTCATCTTATCTTAACTGATGTAAAACTATTATACATGTTTCTTTAGCACAGGCACTATCCCACCAAACCACTTAGAAAATCAAGAAAACCTGTCATGCCCTTTAAATAACTTTTTCAATACAACAAGCAATCAAACATCTGAAAATGTGAAATTACTGAGTTTTATGTTGGAACAAGATGCATCCATGTACACAATTCTCAGTTTATTTTCCCATGATGCCTCACTCTCCCTAGAGGCCCATCGATGATGATGATGGTGGTGGTGGAGTAAAGAAGAAACGCTCTGCTGCACCATTAAGCACAATGTCACAGCACTGAGCCAATAGTAGCTCACTTGTGGGGACTATATGCAGTTAGGGGCACCAGACCGTGGGATTGACACTTGAGACACACGTTTCTTTAAGCACCCTCACTACAGAGAGCCAGAGGTGAGGACTGTCCTTGCACTGCCCTCACAGACTGGACATTTATAATTTACACTTTCACTCACAAACTGTGACTCAGAACTTATAACTTGGTAGAGATATGTTGTTATTGCTCCGTTATAGTTTATATAGTTTTTATGTTTTTGAACGCAGGACTGGGAACAAACATGGTTGCTATGGGTAATACAAAAGGTACAATACAATCGAATGAAAATTAAAGTCTTACAAATGAACCAAAAACATAATTATATTTTCAATTACAAATGTCATTCTCACTTCAAATTACTTTAAAGGGCCCGTATCACGATATTCTCTGATCTATATTAATGCTGTTTCCTCATCAAAAACATACTTGGAATTTTGCTTTGTTTCATTCATATGTGTTTCAACACACAAACCTTGCATATTTAGGCTGAGTAATTCTTTCAAATAGAAACACTCTGTTTCGCCTTGTGATGTCATGTGGTAATAAAAGAAGTGCTCCATTGTGTTTCATTTGGATAATTTCAGCCCTGGAATTTCCAATCTCTACCAAAGGAGAAGATAGCTATTAACTTGAAATCTACTTCACGACATCACAAGGTGGAACAGCACATTTTGAGCTTTGAAGCTGTAATACAGGGTTATAAAACGTGTGAATGAAACAAAACACAACTCCAGGAATGTCTTTGAGGAGGTAACAACATTCCGACATGGCTTAAAGCTCTCAAAGAGTAAATTTTGCGTAATATAGGACCTTTAACTATAGTTGATCTGTGAACTGAACACCCTGAACAATCTACTGACAGGGTTGACACACCAACTTTTCACTTTAATAAAATGGTCAACACCTGTAATGTACCTTTGGACATTCATAAATATGAGGGGAGGAAGGTCAGCAAAGCCATTTCAGTAACTGCATCCTTGTTTTTTTCCCACCATTTTGATTTTCCACCCCATAAACTTGAGTGTTTTGCCTCTCTGTGAAATGTATGATAAATTCTTCAACCATTTCCCATGACAATGATCATCAGAAATGCACTGAAGCAGTCGACAGCCTCCCTCCTATTTTCTGGGACTGTCAGTGTTTTTGTGTCTGCTCAGCTTTTTTTGGTTCTTGTGTGGTCCCTCTTGCAGAGCTGCACCGTGAGGCCTATAGAACTTTAGCACTAATTCACACACTTGGGGGGCACACTGTACATCAAAGTGCCCCTCTGGCCCCGTTGTTGTCACTGTAGTGAAGGCCGTGCCTGGGGACTCAAGGACGGGCTCTTGATAGACACTGCAGTCTCTGTCCGTACTCAGCAAAACGCCATGGATGTGTTTATGGCTGGATGTTATCCCTTGATAGATCACCTGTCGAGAAAAAGCTCACTGAGGTGTGTGGAGTGCAGACAAACAGCCTCCAGAGCTTTGGTTTATGAAGTGTTTCCACGGCAGCAACAAAACATAAAAAAGAGACACTGTAAACTTTTTGTTCACTTACCTTGTTTGTGCTCATAAGATGAAATAATGATAAGAAAGTGTAAGAGTAAATAGTATGTCTCAAATCTTTTCTGAAGATGAGACAAACACAATAATAAATGCAATAATAACACACAAAACAAATCAAATAAACTGATGGGAACTTTAACACTCCAATATTGTCACTGTAGTCAAAACAGTTCACTGGCAGTAATTTGCTTAAAACACACAACTTTGGATTTGTACACAATGAATCCAGGTGCACATATTTTCTTCCAAGCAGTCAATGTTTATTATGGACTCATAAGTAATTGCCTTTTAACTGCAATCGTGACTGCTGATGATGGAAATATCTCCATCACTCAGCACTCTACTTGTACATTAAACATTTTTCTGTGATTTATGTTGTAATGAATTGTAATTGTAATGCAGAGAGTGTTTGTGTTCCCTCAATCATATAATCTGAACCAGTACAGGTTTCAAAGGTTTTACGCTATGCAACAAATCATCGTAACCTGCTACTGTGGCTGCAACCATTGAAAAAATGAGCAGCTGGGGAAGTGTCATCATTGAGGTTTCTAACAAATTACACCCTTCAGTGTGAGAAAAGCCGAGGGAGGACTGGGGCTGGGAGTGTGGCCAAAAGGAAATGCAGAAGTGACACCTGTCTAATATTGGGGACAGAGTTTTTGTCGTGTGAGAAAAGATGGAACATTGTCAAGGCCAAAAAGGAGCACTATAGTGGAGTGTGTTTCCCCTGAAACCTGACTTTAATAAAGTAGAGTACACCTGTGATCTCACTGAGTGCCTGTTTATGATGCACAGCTGCATCTTGCCACAACTTCTCATGGTATATCTGCTAATTTGATGGCCAAATAATGTACCATATGTTGCCTAATAATCATGCCATATTAAAAAAAACAAAAAAACAAAACAAACAAACAAACAAACAAACAAAAAAAAAAACAGCAATTGAAAATAACAGTATGGTGTGAGTATAGTCTACATCACAATATTCTTGACACAAAGTACAGGAGACAGACAATACTGTATGCCCATAAAGCAGGGGGATGAACATTGTCAGATGGTCCCTATACAATTCCAACTCTTGATGGTGATTTTAATTTCACCAGTAGGCTAATATCCGGTGTTGGAAAATTTCCCAGATAAATTCTGACACATTTGGAAAAAGCTTTCCAAATTAGACCTAGAGTATCATTACTGGTGGACAAATTCAGGATATAATAGGTTATATAAAATAATATTTAAATCTTCTAGGCTGCACCTTAGTTTATTTATGAGGCCCACAAATGTCCCATATTTTAGGCAAAGCCTAGATAAATTTTATGCACCTTTAAAGGTCCTATACTGCACAAAATTGGGCTTCAAGCCATGTTGGAATGTTGTTACCTCCTCAAAAAATTTTCCTGGAGGGATTATTAGTCTGTCTACAAATCTCAAAATGCTCTGTTCTACCTTGTGATGTCACAAGTAGTAGTAGTAGGTCAGTAGAGATTAGCTACTCAAAAACTCAAATTATCCAAATGATTCTAATGAAGGTGTATGGAATTTAAAAACACAGTGGAGCGCTTCCTGTTTTACCACATGAATCACAAGGTGGAACAGTGTTTTCCGAGAGAGAAACTCAATGAAGCAAAACACAAATAGAGGAATATAGGCCCTTTAAATTGGTATTCATGACTACGCCTGACTATAAAAATAAATTTAAAAATAAATTGACATAAAATAATTTGACAACTGACATAAACTCTCATCATATCTATCATGCCTTACATTTTGCTAATTTTAATGACATAACTAAAATAATAGGCTATAACTTCCAGGCCTATATAACCTTAAAATAAAGGGCTAATTTATCATTATGTTGGCGGTATGACTTTTTGGATTCCAACCAGCCAGTGAAAATTTGTTGTGCGCATGGTAATTGTGAGACGCTCCCTCGCAGACGCAGGCAGAGTAGTTGATCCAGATCTCCGAGTAGCGGCAGCTCCAGTCAGTCACAGTCCGCCGCAGCAGTCCGACAGTGCGGCCACTCGTGTTCTCGACGTCCGCGGAGCTCCACGGTTGTACGGCTATGATCTGAAGGCTCTCCCCGCGGACATAATAACATTTACGGATATGAGGACACCTGCTACAGCCTGTTCTTCCAGACGGCGGATCAGGATCCCTGACGAGCAGCGCATTTCTCCCATTTCACCGAGCAAATGAGAAAGGAGGTGATGCAGCGCAAGAGACCGCCTCTGTCAATTGATAACCAGCTAGCTAGCCTTAGCCACATATGCTAATAGCTAACACCAGGAGCTCCGATGCTGGATGCACAAATGTCTCTAAGCTGACGTATTATCCCGGCTTTGTTGTGTTCCCTTGTGCGTTTTTAGATGATCGTAGATCGGTGGTTTGTTACATTTACACATAGGTTTGTTAAGTTAGCTGCTCGCTATTAGCTAGCATTATGTATGGGCTAATCATCATCTCACAGACTCCCACTGTCAGGGAATGAACTTGGTATTCAGTGTGGACACATCATAGCAACACAGTCTCGGTGGAAACTACTGCAAAACAATCCCGAGCTGAAATACGGTTTTCTGCAGAATTGCCCCTGGTGAATTGACCCAAAGGTAATTTACACGTCTTGTCCTTTTCAAGGGAGCTTTTTAAAGCCATCCCCGTCTGAGCAGATGCTGAGCAGAAGCAGATATTTCATTTCGTGTCCTAAGGTAACGAGGCGAACCAGCGCGGATTTTCCAGTAAGCTTTTTACCCTATAATGAAAATTAAACACAATACAGTAGATTTGTCAGTATTTTAAAGCTGAAAATTCATCACGTCGGACTTTTGTGACTACCAGGCAGGCTGATATCGGACCATTATTTCTGCACAGTAGTATTGAACCTGTGTTAGAAATAATGAGTCGATTATGTAATTAATACTCAGAGTCGTGCTTATGTAGATGGATGTTTGCCATTTGTCGTGTTTGTTATGGCTAGGGGAGCTTTTTTTCATGCCTCTTATTCTTGTTTTCTGTCGAAATGTAACAGGTATACGTGACAGCGCATAATATGACTTTATTATCCTTATTAAAACTAGTTGTTACTAAAAGAACAAAAATGTCATTTGACCTGACAAACTATGTAAGAATATTTTCCTTATTTTATTTATCTATTTATTCATGTTATTTTCAGATTCACCATGACAGTCCTGCTGACCTCCATCATTGAGGGACTACAGCCCTATTTCTTCCTGGTTTCTGGATTTATCATTGCTGGCATGAGATAATAACGTGGCTCAGACCGTGAATGCTGCTACTACAACACCTGTGGCAGTGTTAGACCCACCCCCTGTGACCCCTGACCCCTCCCTGAGCCAAGTTCACGTCCAGAGTGTAAAACATGACCACTCCCGCCCTCTTGCCGCTGTCTGGCCGCAGAATACCCACCCTCTCGACGGGCACCTCCTCGTTCCCCCATCACAGGGCTACACTCAGGCTTTCAGAGAAGTTCATCCTGCTGCTCATTCTCAGTGCCTTCATCACATTATGTTTCGGGGCCTTTTTCTTCCTTCCGGACAACTCTAAGCACAAGCGCTTTGACCTGGGCCTGGAGGACGTGCTCATCCCACACATCGACTCTCCCAAAGAGGGCAAGCATGCCTCGGGACAGGTGGTCATACATGGACAGGGAGGACACGATGAGTCCCGGCACAGGTAAGAGAACCTGCTCAGTTAGCTCTGGGAACACTACTTTAGATTTTAATGGTTTAATAGAATAGAAGGGCACAGTTTGAAGAAGAATGATATATATTTTTGACAAACAGTTATAAATAATTCTGTGTATTTGTAGTTGCAATAATCTAAAGAGTCAAAATTAAACAGGAGTTGTTAGGTGATTTCATTTTTAGATTTTGAACTTGTGCCTAATTCCCTGATTGTTGGACAGAACTAGTTTGGAAGTCTTATTACATTTATTACCTACATTATAATTACAATTAGCTTTGCAAAGTTCAGGTCAAATGACAATATTAGAACCACCAATAGAGTCCACTTCCAGGGTTTAGCTTTTCAGAAGTCAGAATAATATGTATGCAAGAACCAAACTTCAACAAATGATGAAATGGTTCAGACTATTCCTGGTCTTAAAGTCTGACTTTACCCCCTCACATTCTTGGTGTGTTTCTGCACACGCAGCTGTGCTGAGATGATGTGTTTTAAGCGTTTTTCTTGTCAAACTCTACAGTTCCATTTCTGTGTAATATTTGAAACACTATTCTACTGTTTAGTGCTGTAACATAAGCTCTGGTCTTTCTTGCTGGAAATGCTGTCATAGTTAACCTCAGAAAACTCTAGACCTCTATCAGAAATCATCAAGAAAGAACACTACTTTACCCTCAGAGACTTTATGGGTTAGCCTTGTGTGGAGCTGTCTCAACTGTCTTCCATTGGAAATACTGAATACAGAGCTTGAAATGTTGCCTAAAAAATAACCGTCTATTTACTTTGGTTATTATCTTCTAAAACGCGATGCATGATATTTTAACATTCCCTAAGAATGAATATGCCTCATTCATATTCAAGTTGGCAGCATATCAGGCAGTATCTGAGATTTTTTTTCCTTCAAGTGCTATTTGAGATTTTTTGAATGAAAGAAAGAATATGTGGCTTTTTACATTAACTTGTAAAAAGGGACGTATTATCCTACTGTCATTATATACTATTGATCAGATAACGTGACATATGATTTTAGGATTTTTTTTGAAAGAATGTACTGCTTCCTCTCTCCAGCTGCTTTTTCCAGTTGCTGTTTTTGAGGCCAAACTGGGTCACACAGATTCATGCAGATCTGTTATGCCTATTCATTTGTTCTTGTTCTTGAGTCTCTAGATTTCCCACAAATGGTTCCGCTGACATTTTTTAATAGTAACTTTAGTATGACAAAGATGTATAGGAAAATACAATTCCTCTAGAGCAGAACAGCAGGTGCTAAGTATAATTTAATAGAAAGTGTCTCTGTGCTGGTATGGGAGGGCGTATGAGTTTCGAGCCCTTCCAGGGAAACGGTGGTAAAAGCAATTTTTCAGAAGTTTTCCTCTGTGCTACCTCCCTGTTCCCCATGGAGCCTTATCATTTGTCTGCTCTGAAAGCTGTCCAAAGCTGTGTCCTGCTTGGAATAATGTAATTACTGTTGTCCAACAGATGCAAGGATGAAGTAGGGCTCAAGTGTTTGAAGGAGGTATGTTTTCGTAAAGACTGTGGAACTAAAAAAATACCAGTTTGTATTGTTTAGTTTTGAGGTCTTTTGAGGTTCACTGTTGTAATGTGTTCTCTCAGTCCATAATTCCCACTTGATCAAATTTGTTGCAAGCATCAAGGCAGGAAAGATTTTTGACTTGAGTTTAGATCTTTACTGCTTTTCTTGTGTCTTGTGTTTCCACTGTTTTGCTAGAGGTCTTTTTACTTATTGCAGTCAAATTTGTCTGTGACTCCAATTTTAAAGGTGCACTATAAAGTTTTTTTGGCCAGCTGCTTGTCTTTATGGAGATGTTTTTCCCCTTTGCTTGAATGTTCCAAATGATGGCATTTAATTTATCTCCATAGAGACCAGCAGGGGATGCAACAAGGCCAAGTTAGGGATCTCATTTATAAAACTTAATTTGGAATTCTTCCTGTAAGTTTACAGACAAAACACAAACTCAGTTCAAAGTAAGAGCTTTTGAACTGGACCAATCATTTCTGAATAAAGTTGTCTTTTTATAGATCACAAACTTCTAGAGGAAATTCACTTATGTAAAAGTTGTGTGCATATGCACGCTTTATAAATGAGGGTTCTGATCTGTGAAGAGGTGACCCTACTAATTGTAATGTACTTTTCAAGATTTGAGCCCTAAAATACCTGCAATTAAATAAATGCTAAATAAATAAGATTCATTCCATACTGTGGAACATTCCAAGCAAAGCAATAACAATCAAGACAAGTAGAAAACCCACTAGAAAAGTTATATGGTGCACCTTTAATTAAAAAGAAGCACTCATTTTGTCAGATTAGTGACAACTTTAAACACAATAATACATTTTGAGAGGTGTTGAAATTAGTTTTACGCTAAAATAAGGTGGACATATGGCACAATCATTTATGTGTCAAGGTGAGGTATTTTCTATGTATTTTTGCTTATGTAAATCTTTTCCTTTTGCTCTACTATGTGTTACTGCTGTAGGTGTTCTTAAAACGATCACTTTGTGCTGTAAAGGACCAGGGTTCAAACTGCCTCTGGAAAATGAAGCAAAATGGCACTGAAAATGTCCTGAGGAAAAGCAGCACGACTGGTAATAATTTCACCTTTAGCACCACCCCACGGTGAGCCAGGCCTGCGCTCACAAGTTCACACCGTTAATAGTCTTATAAAAGCTTTAGAGAGAACAAAGGTCATTCTGCTATTTCAGCCTTTTCAGGGATTGATAACACGGCAACATTTGAAAAGTACTATCCAACTTTTCACAAAGACCACTTTTGTGTGCTTCAACTTTAGTGCCATACTATTTAACAGGCGAATGCTGGTTTAGTCTCTAACCATGATGGGGATTTGGTAAAATGTATGCACATATTAACTTGACTGTTTTTAATTAACTTCAGGAAACTAACACTTCTAAAGAAAATTATGCTAGAGTGATTCGGTAGTTGCTCATCAATAAAGTTTGTCTAAGTCAAATTTTCCTGGCAAATATATTTGCAATATTTAGATGTACTCTTCTGCAGTTTTTTTTGTTGGTTCAAGATGGAATAAATTGTGTGTTGCTTTATCAGTGCTGCAGTTTCATGTCACTGTGAGGTCCAGCGATGACACAGTGAGGGACCAAATGTCTGTTAGATTTTATAGGACTGTACTGGAGAAATTCTTGATTGGCATATGACATACTCTGAGCACTAATTAGTTGACCAAGATGGGACATGACATGAGCTCCCAAAAATGTAATATCTCTATGATCTGACTTTAACTACCCTTACAATATATGAAAACATTTGGCCAGAGAAGTACTGGTAATCAGTTAAACACATTCCATGCCTCCTCCTTTTAGATGTGCATTAAAATCCAAATGATCCAAACAAATAATAGACGAATTGATTGACTAAATAACTAAAGATCTACAGCCAATTTTTTCCAGTTTTTATGAGTGAGAGTGTAAATTGAGGTGCTGTTTCTATATTTCTAACTTGTATCCACAGTGTATCCGATCAGTACTGTACAGTCTGGAGTCGGTAGTGAGCCCAGCTGATGTAAGGTGAGCAGTGTGCTGTTGTCATCCACTGTGCAGGCGGTGAGTGTGTGCTGTAAACAAACTCTCACTGTGATTTTTAAGCACAACCAGACATGAACAAATAACTTTATTTATTTCTGTTTGAATGCACTGTAAGCAATCAAATGTCAACAGCACATTGCACGCACAAATTGAGTTTTACAGTGAAGTAACTCATTTCATTGCTGAGAAGAATATCAGTTGTTGTTTTAACATGATGCTCTGTTTTTATTAACTGCTTTGCACTGAAGCGACAGCAGCATCATGTGTGACACCAAGATCATATTACTTGTGACCAAGACTCCATGTATTTTGACCAATGAAAAGCTGTGAATATGCCTCAGTGCAATATCTTTCTTCCATTTGTGAAATTCTTTTTTAAAATTTTATTTTATAAACATGAATAGAGCTAGACACTGTTTACACTTTTTAGCTCATTGGCTATCTGCTGCCAGCAGAGGCTAACATTTTGTTTTGGCCAACCTACTGCCCAATGAATACACACAAATCTTTATTTAAACACTTAAATGCTAATAGCTAACTGCTTAAAACATGATTGCACAACTCTCTTAAAGGTTTGTGGTAATAGGGCTGTAGGTGAGTTTGTTGTAAATTAAAATTGCACAATTTCATGAAAATTATCAAAATTGGTCCTACAGATTGGCCCAAAAATAATAGCCAGTTTATGGGCCAATGGTTGCTCTGGATTCTAAACAATCAGTATTGACATCGACTATAAAAAAACCCACATTGGTCATTCTCTAAACATGAATTTGGGGCAGCAGCGGCTCAGTGATTAGAGCACTCAGACCACTCGGACCAATACATGCTGTCAATGTGTCCTCAGGCAAAACACTTCACAAACTGTATGAATGCAATGTGTGGATGAGGGATAGCTGGTAACCTGACAACACTGTGAGGGAATCAAATGAATACTGCAATGTAAAACATGAGTGCCTCAAAAATAGGGGTGTCATGATATCCAAGTCTCACAATACGATATGTACCTCACAGTACGATATCTATTGTGATATCGTGGAAAAGCTCATGATATGGTGGGGAGGCTCACGATTAGGGATGTAACAATATCCAAATCTCTCCGTACGATATTTTCACGATATACATCTCATGGTACAATATGTAATGTGATATTTTGTGGAGGCTAAAACGGCTGAAATTGTTAATATGTGAGTTTTTCCTCTTAAAATGCCTTGACAAGACTTAATCCAAAAAAACTAAGACTTAAAAGTGTTTAGAACTGTTATTTCTTCTTATAGTCGGTGCTGAAATGGAGCAAAGAATCATGGTCTATGTAGTTTCCTATGTCTTTTTTTTTTTTTTTTTTTAGCTATTGCTGCACCATAACTCTTAAGCAAAGAAATTTGTAGTTCGATATATTGTGTTGGTCCATGATATTC